TCAGGATGACCTATGTATAAACAAAATGCAGCTGTTGCTTATTATTGTCTGTAACAAAAGGTATAAATGCTTGCTGTAATTGTTTACCTGTAGAGAGACCTGCCTAGGAGGGGGAAACCATGTGTCCTAGTGCATTCTCTCCCTCCACGCAATTGCTTGAGGTAATAAAGTATCTGACTTTGCTGCACCCAAAAAGAGAGTGAGAACTGTGTTTTTCTCCGACACAGTGTTTAGTGTCCCAGAGGAAAATTAGGAAATCAATGTCCTGCGTAGGGGGACTGTGGTAGAAAGAACAGGTCAGACTCAGGACTGCATTGAGGTAATCCGGGGGCATCAGGGACACCCAGCATGGTCATTCCCATTGGCCCTGCCCCTGTAGAATGGTTTCAACTGTAGGTGGATTGGCAGGGACCATCTGCTGGATGATTGGGGACCCACCACCACACTTCTCCCCCATCCAGATTACTGCTTCCTTACTTCATTTAAACTGGGGATCTGTCCTGGAGGACACAGGTCTCTGTTCCCACTCACCCAAGCAGTGGCTATTTATGGGAGCCCCAGGGACATGCCTACTCCTGGAACAGTCCAATTCCATCTATGCCAAGGCTTCCCCAGCAGGACAACACTCTCAGCCAATGAGACACTGGTAGAAATGTGACTTCATCAGAACAAAATCTCACTGAACAATCAGTGATCCTAGGAGCAGGACAATGTTGTCCAGCAACTTCTAAGAGCTGCTTCCACTTCCTGTGGTTGTCCCACTCCTCACAATAATCTACAGTCCTGTTTTAGTGATGGTCAGATCCCCAGCTGATGTATGTCTGCTCAGCTCCACTGAAGTCCAAGGAGCTACATCAACTTTCACCAGCCCGACTCTCCCCTCCCTTGAGGCGTAAAACCAAAAAAGATCAGTCAAGTCAGACGAGGAATAGAAACATTTCCTTTATCCTCTTGCCTAGATTGTCATGGCAATCAGATTTCTCTTGGAATCTCTTCTTATCATATCTTGATCCAGCTGGGTTTCGGCGAAACCCCGGGACATTGTAGACATGAGAGTTTTGATTGCAGAGTAAAATTTGTCAGGAGGGGAAACCCATATCTGTGGGGACAGCCGTGCTGCTGTAAAATGCACTTTCCTCCCCATTACTACCCCAGACTTCTGATGTCCAAATCCCACCGCTTTGAAAATCCTGTCACCTTAATTCAGCGGTGAGTGAATGTTACCTCGCAATGGCAACTGCTCCATAAATAACATTGCAGCTGAGCCTCTATTCGCTTTCCAATTTTGTGCTCCACTGCTAAAATCCACCAAAACTAGTCAGAGCAGCCTCACTCTTGGCAGGTGAGATCTGAGGCCGAGGTAGAAACGAACAGGAG